AAAATTAACCAGAAAAGGAAAACATTGTTTTTCCAGAGGCAACTTTGTCTGCCATCAGTTATATTCCAGAGCAGAAAGGTGACTTTTCATTGATCCATAATCATTCATATTTTGACTATGAAAACTGGAATTGCATCCATCACTACTGAGTCAGTTGTATGCATCGTTTGTGTTATTAACATTGTCATAGTGCTATTAGTGGCAATTCTCTGGAACATTTTGTGGGTTTGGAGCAGATTCTAAGGTGATGACATATCAGTCATGAACATACAGTATCATCATTTGAAACTTTAAATAAGTGTTATTTAGCTGATAATTTGGTAGCATCCACAGCTCAGCTTCCCACTGTCATTGCAAAAGCGTGTTATGCCTTATCTGACGACAGCTTATTACAAATACCTGTACATATTGGTTAGAACCCATTTAGCAAGGCAAAGGTAATTACAGACATGCTGTAGGAAATGGAGTTTATCACGTAATTGCCCACATAGACATGGTCCATCACTGTAGAATAAGCCTCTGGATGAAAACTAGCTCTCCAGTATAAAGCATCTACTAACGCAAAAAAAGCTTACTAAATTCCAAAGCTTTAGATTACAACAGACCAAATATTCCATATACCCTTGCCCTTCTCACTGATTTCTACCAATAGTTGTTTTGTGTGAGGACCTAGCTAGGTTCATTCAGCTGACAGTTATTGGAACTACAGTGCCACAGTTTTGTTTTGCCTTGCAGACTTTAAATCAGAACACACTACAGCACTGCTAAATGAAGCTGCAGCAGTATAACTTAACCCAAACACATTAGCACCAGAATGGCTGAGGTATCACACAACTCTAATGGGACAGCACGTGCATTTGTAAGGAAAAAGAATTTCAGGAATGCAGAATGTTAGCTCCAGCACAGATGTTCTAATAAGCTCATTTAGACAGTGATGAGCAGAGAAAACTATGATTTTACCTGCAGGAGGCCATGCTGGATATTTGCAGAAGTTACTTGTAAGAAGTTCTGTTTTTCAGCTGATCAGAGAGCAAAGTATGTCTTGCTGCTGGTGAGATGAGCCAGGACCTTGGCAGATATCATTAAAGTTCACTTGTATGTAAGGTGCTAGAAAAACAAAAATTGCTGTTAGTTGACATTTTCTGTAGCAATTTTCAACCAGAAAATGACAGCTGTTCTGCTAACACAACAGTAAGTCAGTCCTATGTGTTCTGTAATGCCAGTATTTAACAAGCTGATCTGAAGTCCCTTATCGATTCAGTTTAGCCATGAGCTCAGCCCTGAATTTCATCTCAGCATCACAACTACTGGAAACTAATTGTGGCTTTCCACCTGGAAGCACTTCTTTTTGCAGCAATCTCCTATACCTGTACCTGTCTTATTAAGGAGGCCAGTTGCACCGCAGGTTGCTTCCCCTTCTAAAGCTCCAGCATTTCTGATTGGTTCTTTTCCAATGCAAGTGGCAGCTTGAAAACACCATGATAAACCCACAAAATGGGACTACCAGTTTTCCTGGGCACTTGGACATCTTGCATTCCTCATGCATCTAAGAGCTGTAATACCCTAAGGCATGCAAAGCATTACAGTACCAGGAACAAACCCCCAGCCAGTTCAGTGCATGGCTCTCTGCTGTGCTATTCCCATGCTTGCACAGTGCATTAACATGCAAATCCAGAACATCACATATGCTAATGTCTACTAAAAAGATTTTTCATTTCAGGATTTCAACTTAATGAACAAATGGAATCCTGCAGCATCACTGTGGGGAAAACAATTGCATAGCACAAGTGACCAGGAAAGACCTTCAGTGATCTGTCAGAATGAATGAACAAAAGTGAATGGCAAAGGAAGGAATATGGCCAGAGAGAAGAAAACCAGCTGTGGTAATTCTCCCTGTCCACCTCAGCTTCAGCAGCAAAAATAATGCAATCAGTGAATGATCTGCAACCCTTTGGCTCTATGATGGCCCACTGCTTTGGTGAAGCAATCCCAGTCTGTTTTATTATACCTTGAGCTGCTACTCAACTCTCCAGCATCAAGCAGCATAGATGGTACAAGTGCAGTGACTTCAGGGTCCATACATCTGTTAGTCCGGTAACCACTGCAAAAGCAGAGGCTGGGTTGGCAGATGGAAGATTTGCCTTTGAGGAGAAATAGGTCAGATATCAGAAAGTAAAAACAGAGAAACAGATGCAGTCTTTCTTCCCCAGCAGACTGATACTTTACTCAAAAAAACTCTTAGTAATTGAAGGCATAGCTCCTTGAGAGCAATTCCCTGTACATTATGAAAGACAACATTGCCCAGCAGGCTCAAGAGTGTAGCAAGGTGTCTGACCATACATGCTTCTGCCAAGGTACAAGCCAAGTACACTGTAGTGAGAAGCAAGAAGTAGAGGGCTCAGCATAAACACTTTGCTTGCGACACACCTCCTAGGGTTTGTGACTATTACAAGAGGGTAATTTTCTGCAGGAAGGCTCTGTTTCTGCATGCTGTTAATTAAATGCTGGAGGAAAAAAGAGAAATAGTGTTATATTTTCATGCAGTTAGTCTATTCGTATGTACTTACTAGGATTGCACTGGCTTTCTTCATCCAAGTAGAAGTCCCCACAATGACTGTTCTCCTGTTTGTCTCACTGAAACCATTCTCCTCCTCCTCAGTACCCACACTACTTTGAGGTAAGAATTCTAACTCCCATTTAGAATCATAGAATGGCTTGTGTTGGAAGGGATCTTTAAAGGTCATCTAGTCCAACCCCCTGTTATAAGCAGGGACATCTTCAACTAGATCAGGCTGCTCAGAGCCCCGTCCAACCTGACTTCGAATGTTTCCAGGGATGGTGCACCTACAGCCTCTCTGGGCAACCTGTTCCAGTGTTTCACCACCCTCATCGTAAAAAATTTCTTCCTTATATCTAGTCTGAATCTACCCTCTTTTAGTTTAAAAACATTATCCCTTGTCCTATCACTATAGGCCCTATTAAACAGTCTGTTCCCATCTTTCTCATAAGCCCCTTTTAAGTACAGAAAGGCTGCATTAAGGTCTCCCTGGAGCATTCTCTTCTCCAGGCTAAACAAGCCCAATTTAAATCAATTCCAGCTAACAGATAGCAAACATGAGGGAAAAGGAAGTGATGAAAGCACAGAAAAAGACTTAAAATAACAGCCAGAAGCTAGCACAGGGGATCTCTTATACCAGGCTGGACCTAATCATTAAGATAAGCAGCAAAACCAGTACATTTATGTTGGTATGGCTAACAATAAGGCAACTGTGTGCTGTAAACATTTTTTAAGTATACAGCAATCATCAGCATGAGTTCCTACATAGTCCACAGAACCTTTTATCATCTGAGCTGTTTGCATAGCATTAAGATGCAATAAATCCACCTCTAAACAAAGTGATTGCATGTACATATATAAAAGTTTAGTAGTTATAAGAGATCAAAATTTTATATATTTTAAAGTTAAAAACACTATAAAACCTGAGAGATTATAACTGAGTGTGTTATATTAAAACGATATTAAAGGAAATAATTTGAGATTGCAGGTGAAGAAAGGTGAGGATGCACAAGGCATCCTTCTGAAGGTAGAAGGCTGTGAGCTTTTTAAAGAACTACTGGGAATGCTCAGTGGAGGATAGGGTATAGTTGACAGACCTTAGGTTTTCAGAGTAAGGGAAGGCAACAGCACAAGCTACTTCATCAAAGCTGACTTCTAACAGTTCATTTTATCCAAGTAGAAGTCCATCCAGTGAGTGCTTTTCCATTTGTCTCACTGAATCCACCCTCCTACCCTAAAGAAATGAGCCAAAAATAATAAATAGACTGTTTAGAGGAGTTACATAGATTGTAGATAGTACAATTACCAAAAATTTTAGTAGGGTTTCTTTACATATTGGGTTACCTCTGACAGCAGCTCCTTTAAAGACAGCAAAATTATAACATACTGGCCTATTTAGTGAAAAAAGAATGGCTAAAATGTTTAGGGAGAAGGCAATGAGTTGTTCAACACTACACTGACAGCTTACCTAAAAACAGCAGCAGGTGACCTTCTCCAAATAACCCCAGTCAGGTAGCAACTGTGCTAGATGCAGAAGTCTGGTATGTTATGCTGGTAAAT